AAGAATGTAAATCATGACAGAAGCATCATTATTTTAACAACATTATTAATACGTATTTACCCATTGTTTTTTCTTCCAAAGGTGGAAAATATACTACCTTTTATACAGATGCAATGGAAGGAATTATAACTTATGCAATTATATGAATTATATAATTGGATGGATTGCAGAGCACTGACATCAGGTTTTATTGTTACATTCCCCATAGCTAAAAAAACAAGCTGCATTAGACATGCAACAGCACCATCATAATTTTAAAAATGTAGTATTTCTAAAAGTGCTCAAATATACTAAGCACTAAACAATATTTAAACCTAGAAAAAGCTTGCTGAGGATTTACAAAACAATTAAGGCTGTGACCAGAAGCTTGTTTCAAGGAATCAACTCCACTGAATACAGTGGGCCTGCTGACTATACATATATTGGATTACACAAACATTTTAATAAAATACAAATCAGCAAACAAAATGCATTTAAATGGACTATATTTTAGAATCTTAGAGGCAGATATATTTTTGCTGCATTTTTGCAACAGAATAATTCTACTATTCTACGCATAGAAGCTGGCCAGGAGAAGAGATAACTAACAATTATTGCTCAGTTTTTGGATAAAACAAATAATTAAATCCCCCTGACATCCACAGATAGCTCAGCGAAACAGTAACTTGGAAACCGCCCCCCCCTCAATCCTTTACCAGTTTCCTTTCTGTTTTGAGTTCGTGGGAATATCTCATCAGTTCTCCATATACCCTATGTCCCAGTTCTTCTGCTACTACTTCACGCTGTCCTGCGTAGTCATTTAATTCATTAAGAATATTATAAAAGGCTATACATGAGGTAAACCTGACAGAATACAGAAAATAAACAAAAAATATATATTTCATTATTAATGTTGGTGTATAACTGCTTTTCTTCCCCAAAAGAACAGGGAAAGAAATGTATCATAATCTAGCATGATGTACAGACCTTAAAAAAAATGAACCTCAGTGACAGATGCAAAACAGAGATGCCAAAACCACTTCTCATTGCAGAAACTTAAAAGATCAGCAGGAATTTATGGAAGCAAATTTCAGGAGGGAGAAAAGAATAAAAGAATAGTACCCAAAGGCCCTGCAGAATAGAAGCATTTGCTAAGATGTGAAATAAAAAGACTGATTTTAGGAATGAACTTATATTATGAGGCTTAAGAAACTAGACTCAGAAAACTAAGCTTGATGCAGAAATGATTTGCTTCATCCTGAAAATGGAACATATCAGTCATGTGCATCTATGAATGATCCACTGAGCATGTCTGCTACAGATGTGAAGGGTTGGATCAAATGTGCCACATTAATTAATCCAGATATCTTTATATTATATATATATTATAAAATAATAATCATATATTATAAAATAATACTTATTTTATACAATTATCTTCCACAAGAAATGTACTTGGTTTAAACACTTAAATCCCACCAACACTGATATTGGGATTAGACCAAAATCCATATATATTTCATATTCATTTTACCTGGGCTCTTCATCTTTGGATGAACGTTTAGGACAATATTTCTTCACCAGATTTCTGTTAAGAAAGAGAGATGAGCTTTAAAAAAGGGCAAGGTATGCCTAAGAATCAGTCTTGGCCAGAAAAATAAGACGATTACTTGCCCAGCATTAGTTTATTTATATTTATATACATTATTGTATGTAAATATTGTGTGAAGGGCCCCATTTCATGGTTGTGTTGATACTGACCATTTTTAAAGATCTCTTGGCTGCATTTCTATTATATTTAATTTTTGTACTCTTTTTAATGTTGATTGTTTTTATTGTTGTTA